GGCCAGTGACTTCTCTTGGGGCTTGGAGGGGGGAGCAGTAGCAGCTTCCTCCACCTCCGGTTGCCCTCGCAGCCACTGTGTGCTAACCTGATAAAGCACAGGGCATTGCTCCGGGTGCAGTCTGCGATCGTAGACCTTGTAACCGCAGAATGAGCACGGGTGTCCCTTGGCAAGGTGAGGCGAGAAACCCTGACAAATAGAGACTGCGCGCTTGTGCAGCCTTGACCAGTCCTTAGGATGCGCCTGACGGAAGTGTGACTTGACTTTAGTGTGATCGAAAGTCCAGAAGTCACACGTGAGGCACCGATGGATCAGGACCCGGGCCTCCGCTGTCTTTGAGAGCACCGCTATTCGATGTTGTGGGAGTTGGGCAATGTCCTGTCGCAGCTGAGAAAGGGTCCTTACCTCAGGATGACTTGAGTGTTTGTCAGTCGCGTTCAGAGTTCGAAGCTTCTGGGGTTCCGGGCATGCTCCTGACAACAAGTGGTCACGAAGACCTTTCCATTGATGAAATTTGCGCATGCAAGCGGCGCATTGCGGCATCCCATCTACCGCGTGGAGTTGTCGATCGAAGCTTGATGGCACAAATCGGTCAATGCTGGCTGGATGCACTCGCGACCTGTGTAGATGTAACCCGTTTGCTGTCTCGAAAGAGGCATCGCAGAGTGTGCACGCATGTAGGGCTACAGGGTGTTCAGCTGCATCAGGGAGGTGTGATAGGAAATACAGCTTGTCCCGGATGACTTGCAAAACAGAAGGCTCGGTTGTGATATCTGGGCTTCTGGCTGCGCGTCGCTCAAGTTTGCGGAGTCTCTTCCTGAGCTTGACCTGCATCGCTTGAACTGGGTCCTGAATGCTATAAAGCTGGAAGAGATCCTTAGTGGTGATGCGGCTGGTATGTGCTGGCAAGTTCAGCACTGATCGCACCTTGTAAGCATGCCAACTGCGTAGCTGCTTTGCCGACTCCTCGCTGAGTCCGACGTCTGAGAGGCCTGTCGTCAGTGTGCTCAGGACTGTGCTTTGCCAAACCTTGAGTCTCGACATGGTGCTCGCATACCGGCGATTGTAGACAAATTGGCGGACTTGATGCAGCTTTTGCTTTGCTTCCCCTATGCGGTAATGCAAGGACTGCAGCTCGAAGTGGTTGTAGGAGATCATAACCCCCAGGTACTTGCTACAGGAGACCCACTGGAAGGCGGGGAACGATTTATTGGGCCCGATGCGCCATCCGCGAACCTGCTCGCCCTTGGAGTTTATGATCCAGCAGCCGTGTTTGTTCATCACGTTTTGGGATTCTCTACCCGCTAACTTCACCAAGATGACGCACTTGCTAATGTTGACTCGTAGGCGGTGTTTGCGGACCTCCTCAAGTAGCGCTGCGATGAGCGCATGAATGGCCCTGAGGTCCTTGTCAGAGCGGATAGTCCGATGGAGTGTGAGATCATCGGCATATCCTGTCAGGAATTTCAAGACCTGCTCAGCACCGAAAAGGTCAACCAGAGAGCGGAAAAGGTCACCTGTAAGGAACGAGAAGAGTGTGGGGGCGAGCTTACATCCTTGTTTAATGCCTGCTGTGGTTTCAACAGAGGTGGAATCTCCCTGCGCATGAAGGACATAACGAGACCCGTCATGTAGAGCCTGAACAAGGTGGACTGTGTCCTGATCTGCCCCTTCTCTCTGAAGAAGGTCGATGATCTCTTGGCGAGAGACTGTGTCAAACGCTTGGCTGAGGTCAAGAGCAAAGGTGAGGCCGCCGACTAAGGCTGGGGCCTGTGTGCCTTGTTGCAAGGCATGTCTCGTGGGGTGGGCCTGTTCTAACAGGGATCGAGCTTCACGCAAGTGATGCACCACGCGTTCTAGCGCGTCTGACAGCCCCCGACCTGGTAGATAAGCGAACTGTGGCATGTGCTTGAGGAACGAGAGTGTCAGTGGTTGAAGCGCTTCTCTGGCCGCTCCCGCCAGTCCCTTAGCGTCAGGTCTAAGGATACCCAAGGGTCTCAAGTTTGCTGGTTTGTCAGAGGGCTTGCCCGGCTTGGGAATTAAGCAGAGATCAGCGTCTACGAGGTCGGATTCTAGACTGTCCTCGGCCTGCTTGGATGCTACGTGTTTGGAGAGGACCGGTGCAACGATGTCGCTACACAGTCTCCATACAGCCGCAGGTGCCGCTCCGTCAGGAACAGCTTTATTAGGCTTGATGGAATGTATGTGAGCTGCTAGTTTGGGCGGCTCCAAAGCAGGGAAAGCTCCATGCATTGCCCGTAACGGAGGGTGGGCCGCAAATACCTGATTGGCATAGTCCCTGAGGGCTGCTAGCTCCTGCGCTGGACCTAGCAAATGTCCTGTGTTGTCCTTTAGCTGAGCTCTGCGCGCAGGCTGCCAAGGCTGCAGCTTTTTGAGGGTCTGAAAGGAGATATGTTGGTCACCTTCAGCCAGACTCGCGTCCACCTCCGATATAAAGCTCGCAATTCGATCTTTCTTTGCTTGTTTCACAGCCTGGCGGTGTGCCACTTGCGCCAGCTCAGCTTCGGTGTCCGGCGGACGTGGCGTGTTCTGATTAGGAGGCTGTGCCATTGCTTTAGGTGACTCGATCAGCTGTGCTGAGGGAGTGGTGTTCGCAACCCTGTCGTGGGTGCGGGCCCGCCACATGCGACGGGTTTCCAATTCCAGCGGGATCGGTCTTCGTTTGGGAATTTTTGGGAAAAAGCGTTCTGCACCTTCCAAAAGCAACGCATTCCATGCCTTGGGGTCCTGGCAGGTGTCAATTCTGGAAGCGATCCAGCTGTGCAGTGCCTTTGCCGTATCGTCCTCCTCTCTGACTGAGGCCTGTAGAGCTAGTGAATCGTACCGGCGCGTGCTGGGCTTGTGGGATGGGAGCAGCCAGTGATGTTGGAGGGGTACGTCAGCTTTGAGTGGGTAATGCCCTCCTTTCTTCCAGCTGCCCAACGGACAGTCCACCCAAGGGGCTGACCGTTTGGCTTTGCCTCCCGCCGTAGATTCTTTGGTTAGAATGAAGTCAATTTGCGACTCCACTCCTCCTTGTGAGAAGGTAGCTATATGGTCACATTGCCAGGTGTTAAGGGCAACCAAACGCAGCCTGAGCAGCAGATTAAACAAGTTGGATTCGTCAGGGCGGTCCTCAGTGGGTGGCTTCACGTGCGTTCCCACCAATGGAGAGCTCGGACGCAGGGAAGTGTTAAAATCGCCTGCTACAATAAGGGAGTCCCTCTTAGGCACCTGCTTGATCACCTTGGACATGACAGATAGTACCTTAGCACGGTCGTCCTTATTGGACTGGATGGTCTTGGCAGAAGACCAAGCGTGTTGGTACACCGCGACGACAACCAGCCGAGTACCTGCAATGTCTGCACGAGCTTCTAAGACCCTACCCGGGCTCCACTCCTTCCAGCGTAAGCTCTTGGGGACGAACTTGGGAGAGAATAAGATCATGACTCCATCAGCGCGAGTCGTGGATGGAGCTCGCGGTTCTTGCCGAGTGTTTCGCTTCGCTGCTTGTTTAGGCCGGGTGTTGGGTTTGGTAGACTCCGAGGCTGAGGAGATACAGTACCACCCAGAAACGCTGAATTCACTGGTCTCAGTCCAGTGCGTTTCCTGCAATATGAGGACGTCGCAGTGATGAGAGGCTTCAGCTGCTAGCCACGTTTTGAGTTCGCCCCATTGCTGTTGGCCTAGGTGGCCCGCGTTCCACGAAATAACTCGAATGGATCTTTCCAACCTTCCTGCCCTGCGGGAGGCTGTGCCATATGCAGGGGAGTCAGCAGTCTGTGACTGAAGCTCTCTTCGAGTGGGTGGGGGGCGCACCCCCAGACGATCAACCAGGGTAGGTGTCAGAACCTGCCCTCGGTATGGTACGGGCCCGTCACTACGGACTGTCCTTCTACATGCTGTCTTGAACGAATTCTTACGAAGAGATGCAAAGTTTTGTGAGTGCACTGGCAATTGCGCCATCCGCTACTTTCGTCAAGAGACAGAAGCCTAATGACTCCCTCCACCGCGCGGAGGTGGAAACCCTACCGCCTACCCAGTGTTGCAATGTTTTAAACAGAGTCTGGGCCCAGGAATTGGGACCTGGCGGCTCAAAGCAGCTCCTGTGAGAAAAGGGAGAGGACCATGGCGTAGAAGGAGGCACAAACCTGTACTGTTCAGAAAAGGGCCCGGTTGGAACCTCTAGCACAGCAGTTGCGCCCCAAGCCTGTTCGAAACCTCTCATTCAGCGCGGCCGCTTGAGCACTTGTGGCGGCACAACAACAGCAACAACAACAACAACAACAACAACCACCACAACACAACCGCAACTGCAACCGCAACCACAACCCCAACCCCAACCACAACCACAACCAGAGCGGCAACAACAACGACAGCAGCGACAGTGAGGACAGCAGTGACAGCAGCAGCAGCAACATCAACAACAACGAGAACGGCAACGACAACAACGACAGCAGCGACAGAAACGACGCCAACGACAGCAACGACGGCAACGACAGCAGCAACAACAACAACAAGAACGAGAACAAACGAAAAGAGCAAGGCCTGCAGCAAGAGCAACAGCAACCGCAACAGCAACTGAAACTGCAACAGCAACAGCACTAACAACACCACACACAAAAGCAAGCACGTGGAATGGCCATGCAGGCCAAAACGTAAATGTCTAAGCGAGATTGGAATAGCAGCAAGCTGCGAGCAAGGAAACCAGCAACAGAATAATATCTTAACATACGTGTGGCTCCACTCTCACATGGTCAGTCTTTGCGATAGCTACAGTAGCAGCTACAGCTTGCAGAATGGACAACCTGACAATATGCCCTTCTTTGTAGAACAAGCCGGAATTGAATGCAAGAAGTGCCTTCTTTTATGGCATACATGCGGCAACTTTCTTGGCTGCACGGACACAGTGATTCAAAGAAGCCTCTTGGACAGGTTGATTTGTTCACAACTCCTGAAGAGTTTTTCCCAGTAAGAGCCAGTTCTTAAGCGGCCGGCACCTGGACACCCGAGAGGACGGGAAACAACAAGAGCTTCATGGCAGGATCCTGCACTGCTGATGTAAAGGTGATGACCATCATTATTCCGACGTCGATTCGCTTCATCAGAATGTCCCACCTCTGATGTGGCTGCTGCGGGACTGATGTTGGCTTCTCAAAACGAACAAGCAAAAGCTGTGCTGAATGAAACCCGGCCACCACCAATAGTCTCGCTCCAAGCCCTGAGTGAAGTAACCGAAGCGCCTGTTGGTCTCAGGTGACTGGCGGTCCAAGCGGAAAAGCACCACCGCCAGAGACAATGGGATTCCAAGGCACCTCAGTTCCATCAAAAAAGCAACGACCCACGACCCACCGTTGCAGATTTAAGGATTTAAAACCCTAGCTCCACGCCATCCATTCGCGTTTCACATCCCCGAGAATCCTGACTGGCATCTCTGCAGAAGAGTCACCAAACTACAAGGCCCGTCAAGGCGATCCAAGCAGAGGGAAAATGCGCATCGGTCCAGCACTCGACATCCGGGTTCGGCAGCAGCCGGCTCACCACCTGCCCATCCTGGCACCAGCATCCCAAGTCCCAAGCATCCGAAACAGGTCTATAAAATCATGACATGAATCAGCATGTTTTTAGACAGGAAATCCTGGGCCCAAACCAGTCCGCTCGGTGTTTTAAGGCGCTTGGGTATTGGCTTGATTGGCTTTGGAATTCCAAGTTGGGTCCTCCACAATAGGCACACACCAAAGCATGGACAGGAAGTTGGAAAGGAGACTCGGCCAGACAGAGATCAGCGCGATCCAGATTACCTGGAGCGCTTCGTCATGCTTCGGCTGTTTACATTCAACTGCCTTCACTCTGACGAAGGACTTTCACGGCTTAAGACTCCTTGGCTCAAAACCCGGGGACCCGAAACTACACACGTGCAGACAAATGCGAATCCTTCCCGCGAGGTCCTCAGAACCGCAGGAGTGTGATTTTGGCTAATTACGCCGAAAAGCCCGGGCAGAAATTGCCGCAAGTGGCTCAACCCACAGTAACCTACCACTCCTGCCGTACCAGACTACTGCCCGGCTGAGCGCACGAGCCCCTCAACTTTCGAACTCTGTGTCCCGAACCCGAGCTTTGCAATTGCTTGCAACAGCACATATAATGTCCCAGCTGCTGGTACGCTTTGATAAATCAACTCGCAAATCCTGGGTCGTGCCGTGAAAAGCCCAAAGTCGAGCGAATCCATGACCTGTTTTGTTGCGTGGCAGGATCGTGGAGCCGAGGCTTCAAGTTTCAGGCGTTTCATTTAGGGTTTAGGCTTTAGGGTTTAGGGCTTCAAAAAAAGGTGTTTCATAGTCGCCTGTGAATTGAATGACTGACAATGGAACGGCGAGGCCCAAGAATCTCACAACAACACACGGCAGCAGCAGGAAACATAGCTTAAATTCAGTGGACTTGCAACATGTCTTTGGTCTGACTGCGATCAACAAATAACACAAATCTGCTGGCTGGGCGACACGGCAAATCGGAATACGACCAGTGCATACAAGTTAAATTGCATGGAGGACTTGTATTTTGCCATGTGCATGGAATATCATAAAAACGACAACAAGGCAACAGAGAAATTGCGTTCCGCAGCGCTGGCCCCATGTGCCCTCCAAACGGCATCAGAGAACATCGCTCTGGTTCAAGGCTAAAAGCTTGCCAGCAACAGCTGTCGGAAGTCGTAGCATGCCTTGTGAATGTTTTCGGGAAACCGACACAAGGTCACAAGGCCGACATAGTTGACATTGGCACTTCCATCGAACTTGCTGTGGCTATGGTGCTTGACACGCCCCCCTCCGGCCTCGTCCAATTCTACATCTGCGTCAAGCCTCGAAGTTAAAGGCAGCGTCTGCGCACTGTCGACCCTGGGCACACGGGCTTCACATCTGACGAACAACGCTGGCAACATTGGCCCAGTTACAGCTTAGGATCGGAAGCGGCGCAACCACGATTTGGGTTTCTCCCGAGTCAGGAGAATGCTTGATTTGAGTGGAAGCGGGCTTCTCAGATGGAGCTTGCCGGTCTGCGTGCAATTCCATCTCGGGCTGATCCGCCTCCGGGTCCTGCACAAACTTCAAGCACTTCGGGCTAAAGGTCTTGGGATGCTGGCTAGCAGGCTAGCACAAGGCCTGGCGCACGAGGGCAGCTTCAAGTGCTGGACCACTATTTGCGTCAATGATGTTGTCCAACAGGTCAAGCACATCGGCTGTGCCGGCATAGTCGTTGCGCACGCACGTCAAGTCTACCTTGTCGAGGGCAAGCACGTCCACTGGCTGATCCCGTGACCGAGCCCTGGCCGTGCAGGCCCTGATGAGCAGACCGTGCGAGCTGACCACGGCATCCCGAAGGAAGGACTTGGGCTGCGAGACGGCTTCCTGCTCTTCTCTTCCACACTGGCGAAATCAAAGCGCTCGACATCAACAAAAACAGTGTCTTACACATACATGTTCCTGCACTTATACACACGTACGTACGTACATACATGCCTGCATACACATATGCATGCATACCTACGCACATGTTTACTATCCATCTGTTGATGCATGTGTACATGTACACACATTTAACATATTTATATTTACATTCGTATATACATCTACAGAGGAAGACCTTTTTTGTATGTAGGTATGTATGTATTTATGCATACCCAAAATCAACTAGGCTTATGCTGGGATCTAGAGCGGTGAAACATCAAAAGCTCGGATTATGCCTTCTGAGTGAGTGAGTGAGTGAGTGTCGACCGGCACTTACGGTGCGGCCTACCTCCCACGTCCCTCTCAACATCTCGGGGGGGCTCCGCAAGCGTCATCGCCTCCCTCCGTCCCAGAGTTCAAGTGGGGGAGAAACTAGCTAGTGCAGACAGGTCACGGTGTAGAATACTAAGATACATGTTTCAACCCAAGAATCGGAGAGGCATAGTCCTTGATCAGGGATAAAGCAGGCAGGAGGCCAAGCCAGACGTCACCAACCGATAATACTTATGCTTGTATGCGCCAAAGAACACACCAAGTAACCGGCAGCAAACGCAAAGAGTTGCAAGGGGGCGAACCGTGCGGCCAGTGCCGAGGGAGCGAGGCTCCATGCACAGAGGGCACACACAAGGCGACCCAAAGGCGTGCGCCATGTGCAGAGGGAACACTGTTCCAGCACCGAGGGCGAGCACGCCAACAATCAGGTACAGTAAATGAACATGCACACCACCGCGGCAATGAACAGCACAGAGGCGCAGCCCTGGAACAAGGCCGATAACAAAGGTAGCAATCCAGGGAGCTGCTAATGCATATGATGAGCGTGGAATACCTCAGATATACACTGGATGTCCTCAGGCCCATGATGGGTGGAGACGTCGGCATCGTCGGATCAGTTGCAACAACAGTTGAGACAGAATACTAGAGGGCACTGTCGCCCTAGCACAAGGGAGGGGGGGAAAGGGGGTGCTCATCGGGCAAGAGCCCTTAGTGCCGCCGCCCGGGGTCCACACCTTTCCAAAAGAAACCCCCGCCCCAAAGAGAGTGCTAGGCCCGGGGGGGATTATGCCTTCTCACCGCTGCAATACCTGGAGCTCCTTATTTGTGCATATATGATAAAGCAGGCATCCATGTATGACTTACATGCGCATGTTGCACGGCATGACGTCCCGCAGCACTGCCGGTGGGACGTCTAGGGCACCGAACTCCTCAAGCTCCACCACAGACAGGGCAAGACCCACCTGGCTCAGACAATCTCTTGGCCTACATACGCACATAATTGCATGCGTGTATGTTGCATGCATGCACTTGAATACACAAACGGATGAATGGTGGGCAGGACGGACGGACGGATGACGGACACACGCGCACACACACACACGCACGCACGCACGCACGCACGCACGCACGCACGCACGCGCACACACACACACACACACACACACAGACACACACACACACACACACAGACACGCACGCACGCACACACGCACGCACTCACGCACGCACACACGCACACACGCACGCACACCTGGTATACCACCGCACCCCTGTCGGTGTACGTGCTCCGATGGTGCAGAACGCGCGTATGGTGTAGTACATCATCACGTGGGGCCTGGCTGAGAGTCCTTTCCAGCGCATCACGTGCACGGGAAAGTAGCTTGGCGTGGGCCCGACGCCTTCTCCCAGCCTCAACAGCTTGTTCAAGGATATTCATGCTGCCAAAGTTGGCCCAATTTAGGCTGCAGGGATGCTGCTGTAGAAGATGCCCGGCCTCGTTGAACGACAGTCCCAGCCGGGCTGCCAAGGGCACCAGGACGTTGACTGCCAACCAAGAGACCACCACCGCACCGACCATCATCAATAGCGGAAGGCAGATATTGTAGAGTGCCTGTGCTATGCGGGCAGCCGCCGGGTGGTCCGACAGTTCCTGTGCAAAGCTGCTTACAAGCCTGACTCTGGAACCAGTGTGCCTGGCACCGATACTGAGTATGCCTGTTGTGTGCATTGCTGCATGCCTACATGTATGTAAGTAAAAAGATTCATGATTAATACGTATGTATGTAATGTATGTATATTCGCCCAGGCAATCGGTAATCGACCTGGGACATATCGGAGCCAGATGTTTGCACCCAGCAACAACCGTTTTAGGCTGCAGGGATGTACACATGTTGGGATGTGTAACTAAGTCAACTGAATACGCACGGCCAAGAACCAACACAAACGTAGTCTTGCGGTGCATAGTTGTGACATGTTGTGACTTACATCTAGGACCGGATGGAGGACCGTCAGCTGCCAGCAGAGGGCCAACAGCCACGCGAATATCAGTGGATTAAACACATCCACTTGCAAGGATAACCATGGGCGCATGTAAGTAGGCTTGCGTCTGGCATTCCACCACAATGCTTGACATTTTCAACGAACCGAAGCAAGAATCCGCACTACAACAGAAGAAATTTCCCTCACTACGCAGTCCTGGGCCCTGCACTGGGCAGCAAAGTCGACGGAGACCAGCGCCGGGGTGAGTGTCAAAGAGTCGAATAGGTTCCGCATTGCCACAGTCACCTCTGAACCCCCGCGGAAACATCTGCTAAGGGCCGCTAGAGTCACTAGACTAGAGCTCACTGAAATCGGAAAGTCTTTCATGGCTTTTGACTTTGCCACCGCACCAATCGCGCATGTGGACTTTAGCATCATGAAGCGGCGGCTCCGCAAAACGCGTAAAGGCTTTTTTTTTGCAATGGCCGCGGGGGCCGCGCCCCTGACCTGGTTGTCGTCGTATGGCCAGAGCAGCAGAGCAGTAGCAGTTGATTGTAGCAAGAATAGCAGCAGTAGCCGGCCTCATTATACCCTAACAGGACCGGGTGATGCGAAACCATGAACCCTACAAAAGGATTGGGTGGGTGCGATGCTTTGAACCCCAAACAGAGCGAGTGGCTGCGAAACCCTTTTGCATCCAGGCCTATTGCGACCGCCTGGACCCTTAAACCCTAAATGGAGTGAGAGGCCACGAAACTCTGAACCTGGTAACCTCATAGACTCTCCACCTCTCCGCAGGGCCAAAGACGATCCTGCTGGGAGTGCCGATCATTATTCTGTCTTTTGTCCGCATCCTCTCAGCATCTCAGAATCTTCTCTCCTCTCCTCCACCTCGCTGTTCGGGCTCTGTGTCCAGCTTCTCTTTTCCCTTTGCCTGTCATCGTCCCCCAATCTGCTCGTGTCAAGTCTGAAATTACAGTCTTTAGGTCCAGTCTGGAGTTGGGAATAAGCAAGTCGCACTCAAGTCTTCAAGCCGGCCTCCACAGGCCACGCAAAGGTGGCAGAGCCGGCAGAGCCTGCTCCACCCACACCGTCAATATCTTCCTGCCATGGAAGTTGCACTGGAATTTGATCGAGCTGGAACGTCGCCAGGACTGAAGAGGCTGCCAGCCATTGGGTCGCGATGCGTATTATTATCGTGTGCCTGGGCTCGATTCGGAATTGTAAACGAACGGCAATTGAAGGCGACAATTTGGAAACGAAAGGGTGCAATGGTTTAAAGCCTCAACCGTTCATGGCCAACAAACATTGAAAATGAACAAAACAGCGCCTTCTTTGCCTCCATGACACAGCTTGCTGCTGCCACGGGCGGCTTCAGTGGCTGCCATGGCTGCGACGATGAAGTTGATGGTGACCTTACTATCAGTAACGTGTAAGACCTACACGCTGCACAGCTACTAGCATCATCACCGTCATCATAAGCCGCCACCATCGCGGTCGTCGTCATCATCGTCGTCATTATCAACACCCTTCTCCAGCAACATCACCGCCACCAGTATCCTACCTTGTCCCACTGCTATCATGACCTGCTGTTGTCTCGTCACGTCATTATCGGTGTCAATGTTGGAACTGTATGGAACTGTGACAGTTCATCATTAGAACTATTGACATTCAGACCGCACTTATCCATGAATATCCGTGCGCTCGTCGCTGTCATTGATTCGTGTTGTTCACTATTCTCAAAGTTACTCTTGCTATGAACGGTGAGACGACTGTACTCTGAACATAAACAGTTAACCGAATGGCCTTATAACCATAGTGATGTGTTTACTACTTTGCGGCTGCTGCGATTCTTGTAATGCTTCTGATGGCTGTGAATAGGCACGCAACCTTGCTTCCCACATCTCCCAGGATGGACGCGACCAGCGGAAGAATCGCCTGCGGCGGAAGACAGGCAGACCGGGAAGACGTCTAACTAAGCATTCCAGGTGGCCCTAGCAGCAAGTGCCTTCATAGTTGCTACCACGCACCTGCATGTGTTGGTTTCCGGTTGTTGCTCGAGAACACATTGGGCCGATCGCCTCCCCTTCCTAATTTTTGCGAATCCCTAAACAACTCAAGCCCAAAGGCCCAAAATCCGCCTGCCCACAGGGCCGGCAGGCCGCCCGGAAGCCGCTCCGAGCCCAGCCAGGCGGACATTCCCCACAGAGGATGCCCGTGGATCCTTCCTCGCAGGCCTCAGATCTACATGAGTCCTTCGATTCGCGAAGGTGGTGCCCAGAATTTACTGTAAGCAAGCAAGGAAGCAGGATTTCGAATGGCAGCCAAGCAGCATTTCCATACTTCCCTACGCAGTCCACCTCCTCATCACTCTGGCATTGGCCGCTGCCCAAACAAACACTGAGGCCATTGTCCAGCACGACGAAACCTGACTCGGACTTAGGCCTAGGCCCACTTCTTCATATACTGCAATCGCAAGCACTAAGAAACCTTGCGTCCAAAATCACTGCGCCCATCTCAGAAGGGCAGAGCAAAAAAAACGCGAGCGAGGTCAGCAAACAGCCGCAGTGGCGCGGGCGTAACACCTCTGCTTGCATTCAAGCTGCACTTCACGGCAGTCAGAGTTCCTCAGCTCTTCGCACATGACTTCGTAAACTCCTCGTCGAGTCTCTGAGACTTCTAGGAAGAATTCGGGATTCAAACTTCGTATGGCCCAGGTGCCAGTCTGGAAGTAGCCCGGGATGGCCACTGGCAATCGGTGCGAGTTTGGCGAGTTTGAGGTTTCAGCAAACCCACCGGGGCAGCTCAAGGATGCGAAGTTCGCGCAGCTGGCGCACCGTGCCTTTCTCCAAAAAATACTCTCACCGCCTCTCTGTAAGATGGCTACAGTACGAGCTGTATCTGAGGATTGCTGCTGCCTGGGCCTCTCATTGCTGCCAAGGGTCAAGATCTACACCGTTTGGATCAAGCTCGGCATAGAAGCCTCTCTGGCAAAAGCATGCGGCTCGGCTGATTGAGCCCTCCTCGCTCTCGGCGCTTGTCGGGCACTGCAGGGGGCAAGACACCTCGTTACTGTCGGAGGACTTGTAGCGACCCCTTTGGCATAGCTCGCAAGAGGAGCCCCTCTGAAAGTGACCTGCTCTGCAGATGCATTCGTCTGGTGACCTCGCCCCTGCTGTTGAATTGGCGCCCTCCTGGCATTCGAAAGCGATGCCTGTACCATTGCAGTAAGAGCCAGGGTGGCATGTGGAGCAGTCTCCGCCCGACTGGTTCGAGCTCACCGAGAACGAACCAGGACGGCAGAGGCAATCTTGAATGGACCTGGATGCCTCCTCCAGTGTGGACTTGTCGACAGGGCATCCAGAGCAAAGAGCATTGCCGGCCGTCTCCTTGTAGGAGCCCTGTTCGCAAGGTGAACAAACACCTGTTTGCCTGTCGAAACCGAAGCCAGGCCCACATTCACAAACGGAGACATTATCCGGATTCTCAGGCTCCATGTTGACAAAGTTGGGTTGACAAATGCACGCGGCCAGCGATGTCGCACCGGCCTCGAGAGTTGTGGAGCCATAGGGGCACGAGGTGCACCGAGAGCTCTCAGGAGTCCGATAGTATCCTGGCAAGCATTCGCATTGGGATAGCTGACCTGGGCGCCAAGCCGGGAGAAATTTCGGAAGACTCTACACTGCGCGTACACCGCACAAGCTTCCCTAAGGTCTGAGTGGCGGACTGCTGCCACGCGGGGCTTCACTGGCTGCTGGGCAGCTTTGCGGTGCTCGGCCGCCGGGGCAGTAAGTGTCTGCTGGGCACAGCTGGCACGCCTGGTTCTGCTCGTATTGTCCGGGCGGGCACAGAATCTGCATCCGGAGGGCGACGACGCGGAAGTCTTGCAGGGATGCGCAGGGGTGACCAGAAGGGCACCAGCAAAGCTCTACGACCTCTGGTGGGCCGAAACCGATGATCCCCATGTCCAGGAGGAAAGCGCTCCCAGACTCGTTGATGCTCACGGGCAAACCGCTGTACGACGATGCCTCGAGATTCTCGCAGTCTTTCTGTGCGATAAGCGAGTCATTGCTGGAGACACCGACGCCCCTCCAAACAGGGACGGTGCACTGAAAGCCAATGTAGCAACTGGCAGACTGGTTCGAGTACGGCCCTTCGGCAGTGAAGTGGCCCATGGCGCCCGTGAAATCTTGGGGCGAGCTGCAGTTTGGGTGGTGGCTATCATCGCACCAACATAGTTGATAGCTGCCCGGCTCCACGGAGAAGAGCCCGGAGGTATGCATGTTTTGGACTTCGGCAGACGGCAAGGCGACGAGGGAGTCCGGGCAGGTTGTCTTCACAGTCAGGTCGGACGCGTTGCCCGAGTTGCCCACAGCGAGACCATCGAGGTGGCAAGGCTGCCCAAGCTGACAGCGAAGGACGGGGCTTGGAGGTCGGGGCGCCATGACATAACGCCAGAGCTCTTGCAGGTACGAGACGTTGAAGCCCCCGAAGAGCAGCAGGGCTGGGGAGGCTGCGTCGAAGACCGCCGCTGAATATGCACGCCCGGACGGACCCGGCGGAGCTTCAGCTCCGGGCCCAAGATCTGTCCAAGTTCGTGTGAGGAGGCTGAAGCTGTAGAAGCCACTGCTGTAGCTCAGCACTTCCTCGGAGCCTCCCTCGCTTTGGTCTTGGATTCCCCCGAAGACGAGGAAACTCATCGAAGCAGGGTCCCAGGAAGCCACGTGCCCGCCTCTTGGAAGTGGGACAGCACCGGTTGCTGCAAGTTCGGCCCAGCGGTCGGCCCAGGCATCATAGCGATGCAGGCTCGAAAGGTACTGGTGCCCATCCCAGCCTCCAAAGACAATCATGGACCTGGTGCTGGCATCCCACGCTGCTGCATGCCGGCTGCGCTGCTCGAGCCCGACTGCACCGGCTGTCCAGGCCCTGTGCTCGAAGCTGAAGTAAAAGAGGTCCGACAAGGTCTCACCTCCGCCCTCACCGGCAAAGGCCAGCATGGCCCGGTGCACGGGATCCCATACGGCTGTGTGGTACGCACGAGCCCTTGGCTTAAGAAACGTCGTCCACAGCTCCCAGGTTTGTAGTCGATACGCCCACATGTCGCTGTAGGTCTCACCAAGGTGGCTGCCGGCAAAGACCATCATCGTTCGCGAGACGCTGTCCCAAACGGCGCTGTGGCCGGATCTGCGTGTTGGGCGTAGCTCAGAGACCGTGGAGAGTTCCGCCCAAGTACGTGAAGGCCAGTGGTACTGCCACAGGTCCGAAAAGTACTGGAACGTCATGGCGGCTTCACCTCCAAACACCAAGGCGGATTGAGTCTCCGGGTCGAAGACCATGGAGTGGTCTTGGCGACCTACGGGGCTCGAAGAACCAGCACCAGCGGTGTACTCGCTCCAGGCATCGAGCTCGCACCGAACGCCTCCGCACACAAGCCAACGATAAAACAAAAATGTGAAAAACAGACGATGGCCTCCTACCTACACGCCGCAGACGATATAATACAGCAACTCATACATCCTGTTGCACAGCGGGCCTGCAGCTTCCCGCGGGGTGCAGCCGTGGATGCTCCAACCTCGCGGCGTCCATCCCCTCCCTTTTGCCCTCTTCTGTCCTCTTCTCTCTTTCTTCCAACTCCCTGCCTCGGAAGCTGCAATCCCGCAGGCTGACCTCCGTGCCGTCACACGCGACCCTGTCAGCCAGGATCGTCCCCTCGAGGAGCACCTTGTCCGACGACAGGTCGGAAACGGGATCCCTGAAGAGGGCTCGGCCGCCCGCCATGCCAAGGTCCCGGCAGACCACCTGTGCAGTGGCATCCGAGAAGCTGTCGTCGCACACCAAGCCGTAGGAGCCATTGTACTGCAGCTGCAGCCAGCCCTCACTGCCTCCGCTGCCAAGGCGCAAATCCTCCAGCTCATATCCCGGCGTCACGTGGAAGACCTCCGCGGGCACCAGTGCAGCTCCCATCTCACCCTGCGCCGTGCCCACGCCGACGTTGCTGCCGATGCCCAGTTGACCCTCTGTATTGCTGCCGAAGCATCGCACGGTGTCATCCTCCAGGTACACACACGTGTGGCTCCAACCTGGGGTGACCTGGCCGGCGAGGTTCCGTTAATGACGCGCAACCGCAGTAAGGCAGGCCGGGCCTCTTTCTCTTTGCAATACCGAACGGCTGCACTTGTCTGGCTGCGGCCCACCAGCAACAGTCCAAGAAACGTATAAGATCAATTACTGATTACTGCAAGCGGGGCGAATAGCAGCAATCTACATGCCTGCTATGTGCAATCCTGTTCCAGCTGCTCAAGTCAATTCAAGACATTCGTCCACTACTGCCCATGCTTGACGAAAATCCGATTCCCCTGCATTCCCTCACTCGGCGGCCTGGCGCACTGCAAGATTGTTCAGGTTGACGGGGAGCAGTGCATCGCCCATTTCTGCAGGCTCGTCGCCCAGGTTCTCAATGTTGCCCTGGCCCAGCCTAAGCGAATGCAACGCAATCAGATGCCCCATCCTCCGCAGCGAAGGCCTGCAGGGTCAACAGGAATTCTGTGACACGCCTGAGCCCCCGGCTGTCCGGAGTTCCCCCAACCCCAGCACTTCAGAGACTCATCCTGCAGAACTGCACACGCGTGGTAGGCGCCAGCGACCACTTTGAGGACGTACGTGCCGTCGCCGAGCGGCGTGCTTGGGAGGCTGGGAGTCACTAGCGGCTGGTCCACATTGTGGCCTTGGCCCAGTTGGCCCAATTCATTTCGGCCCCAGCAGCGGACAGAGTGATCCCCCAAGACCTGCCAAGCAAGCGAAACATGAGGTTGGCTTAAGGCGTCAAACGCATTGAAAGGGCAAAGGCTCAGGATGGTGTAGGCAAGCAGCTGCGCAGGTGAAGTACCGCCCAGCGGAAATCTGCAGCGCTTCCAAACCCAGATCCAGGTAGGGCAAATTGTCTCCCATCTGGTTGGGCGCGCTACCCACTTCATCTCCCTTGTCCAAGTTAGGAGATATCCCTAATTCATTTCGGGAGTCCCATGTGAAGCCCAAGCCGACAGCCGGGCCTTCCCCCCAGCACTTCACCCCGCCCGAGCTGGACAGCGCGCATGTGTGGTACCTTCCGAGTGCGAGCTGCGTGGCATGGAAGTCGGTTCCGAGGTCCACGAAGGGCAGTCGGTTGCCCATTGTTCCTGGCCAGTGACCGAAGTTGTGCCTGGGTGTTGCAACACGGGGCGGCTAACTGAGCGGAGGGCCCAAGGCGTCAAGGGGCCACGGCCACAGTCTGGGGACATGTCCTCGCAACTGAGGCGCGCACCCGTCACCCAAGCCCAAGCCGAGTCGCCCGTTATAACCCTTTCCGAAGCATTTCACAGACCCGCCGTGCAGCAGCACGCACGTGTGTTGTTCCCCAAGTTCAACCTCAAGCACAGCGTGCCCGCCAACGTCCACGGCGGGCAATGCATCGCCCATCTCTGCCGGGCTGTCGCCCACATCTGAATCAGATCCATAGCCCAGCCTGCCCGCGTCGCCCTCGCCCCAGCACCGCAGTGCACCGCCCTCGAACACGGCGCAACTGTGCCGGTCACCACATGCCAACTGCACCACTTTTGTGCTTCCCAGGTCGACGAACGGCAAGGCGGCGCCCATCTCGCCCGGGCGCAGGCCGAAGCTCCCCCGAAGGCCTTAGCCGACGCCTTCAACAAAGTCTCACACGACAGTGAGAGCCAGACGCACACACACACACACACACACAGACACACACAGACACAGGAATGCTCAAAGGACCCGAGGCCGCTGCCGTCGCTAGTTTCGCCCCAGCACTTGACGCCGTTAGTGTCCCCGGCGAGGAGCAGGGCGCAGTTGCCATTACTCTTGGCACTGAGCGAGACGGACACCGGGGGCACTGGACCTGCAAACGCGGGGTTCAGGGTTTCGCCGTGTTTGATCCGTTTAGGACGGCTGAGAAACGGAAGCCAGAACAGGAGTTACCACTCGAACTGGAGTTAGCTGCGACGCTTCCCACTTGTTGAACTAATTTTACTGAAGTCTTTACATGAACGATCCAGCCGAAGAGCGTACAACGCCTCTCAACGGGTCCTATATATGATGTATGCATAGCAAGCACCGTTCCGGCACAAGGGTGTGTGGATTTGGGCGACTGCATTGTGGAAAGCAGGTCGGGTCCGACGTGTTGTGGTTGTGGTGAGTTTTTTGCATCCATGTATCGGGCGCCTGGAACCGCAGGCACCCAGGCGACCACTGAGTCCACGGCCACGCCATAAGCCTCGCCGATGACGTCCGCGGAGAGCAAGCGCAGCATCGTTGTGTTTGCGGGCAAGGTCACCTTGGCTTGCAACCAGCCTGGTCTGTCAGAACCTCTGGCTGACCAGCGCCTCCACCAGCGGTCACGCCAAAGGTACTGCAGTTCCAGTATTCCAACTTCTTGTCCCCACACTTGGTAAGCAAACTCGAAGTAGAACTCGCTGCTTGCCGGGAACATGGGACTCGTCAGGAAGCTCTGCCCCTTCAGGGGGTTGCCTTTTGGCCAAGCTGTTCAAAGACCAACTAAACGCCGGTGGAGCTTGCAGAGGAAAGGGGAGAGCGAGAGACAGAGAGAGAGAGAGAGAGAGAGAGAGAGAGTTGGATTGAAACCCACAAGACAAACCTCGATGCTTTGGTACATCAACACATGGTTGTACATGTAGGCATCGCCGTCGCGGAAGGTCGAAATAAATTGTGGTCCTTGTTGCAAGTTGGAGGGCAGCCAGAAAGTGCCCATTGACCACCCGCACATCATATCGACGCCGAAGCCACACGTCAAGTTTGCCAGGTTGGGCACCTAATATGTTTAGCTCACTCCTGTATCTCTCCAAATTAAGTTCCTTCCCTGCATTTTACAATATTTAAGCAATTCCGGTGTTCTCCATATCATATGTCGGTGATTTTTCTAGGGTCTTCCGACTATCTTCCTATGATCTTCCAATGATCTTGCCACTGCCTGCCAAAAAAACCATGATTCACTATGGATTTTCCCATGTCCTATTGTTTGGTTGAGTAGTTTTTGAATGGGATGACCCAAGCAAGTGAATTAAACAGTGAAACATGGTGAAGCATTAAGCGGTTCACACCCTCGACTCGTTTTCCGTTTATGCCAAAGGGGGCGGGATGGAGGGAAGTGTGATCTGCAGATACTCAAAGGTACTAGGCCGACACCGTCGCGCGTGCCTACGCCGCGAGGCCCACCCTTGTGGAGACAAGAGAAGTCCGACACGAATTTCAGGGTTTTGTTCGTACCCGCCCGGCAAAAAGCGCATGGCGAGCTACCGGCTCTGCCTTTGAATTGCAATATCAAGCAAATGTATATGCCGTATATACCTGTGTGAATACGTGTTTAGCTTCCTCATTTGCACTTAGCCAAGTGCTCGGACTGACATGCAACAGCTCGACAGTCGTCACTTGCTTATGTATACATACCTAACCTCGACAACCTTGCTACCACATATTATTTGTACTACTTACATTAAACTACACTGAACCTCGACGGGACCGTTGCAGGGTGCACTGCTCTGCTGTGCGCGTGCGCTAAGCCAATTCGAACGCTGGACCCGTCCAACTGAGGTTTCCCAGGTCAACAGCTAGACACGGCTAGATACCGCTAAGTCAACCCTGGCGGACTTTTACCGTATGGGGACTTGAGCCCAAGTGCGCGTCGCGTAAAGCTAATGCTAAGGACATCAAAAGTAGGGATGGAGGCAGGGTAAAATCTACACCCCCCTCGCCGTGCTGCTCTAGCTAAGGCGTACTAATACACTGGCTCAATGCCAAAGCGAGCATCTATAAAGCGCAGCTACGGGAGCCCCGCATGTCCAAAGCAAAATGATAGATGAAGCATACCAGCACTTAGCGCCTATGGCCTATGGGTGCGGTTCCATGCATCCCACTCGGCTTGCGTGTACTGGCCGCGACGCTGCTGGCGGTAGTACTCGTCCCGTTGGGCCTGAGTATACCCGCGATAAAGGGGCTCAGCCGTTCGACCGCGTCCCGTTTGGGAGGGGCGATTGCGAGCTGCAGCTTGACGGTTTTGCTCAGCCAAGCGCTCAGTCTCGCGAGTCTGGCCTTCGGCACTGCGGCGGCTATCGTAAATGATTTGGGCCAGCTCAGCGGCAATCCCTTCAGCATTGGTGGAGTTCACGAGGAACTCGCCGTCAAAGGTGAGGATACGCCGGGCGGCATCATTGACCGCGGCAATCTCGGCGAACAACTTCGGTGCGAGGAAGGCGCCCCTGTAGGTGAGTCCGATTGGAACATCAGCGGTATTGTCGGTAAACCGCAATGTTCTCAATGGCTCCACTTCGCAGTGGGCAAAGAAGACGAGCTTCGCAGGGGGAATGCCGCCAGCACCTCCGGTGGAACTGTAATGGGCTCCAGCACGCAGGTGTCGCTGCTCTTCGGAGCGCCCCGGATCGGGGAGCACTGTTGCAGCGAGGTAGTCGAACATTTGCATGTCCTCCAAGCTGCGGCCTTCTTGCATCATCCTAGTGCGGAATTGATTATCACCCTCGAAGCGCTCGGAGACTGAGGCTAATAGTTCATCTTTGCCGAGCGCTGCTTGCGATCCTTTGCCTCTCTGATGACGGCAGCTTCGGCACTCATTTGGCCTCGCTTTTTGGAGCCGTCGCCCATACCACGAAGATCACTGGTGAGAAGGTCTTCGATGGGTTTCTGAGCGCCAGTAGCGGCTGTTGCAAGGATGCGCTGGCGAAGGCGTGAGTTCTCGTAGAACTTTTTGGTAACCTTTGCCGAATCACTTGTCTGTGGTGCCTTGCAGCGGAGGCAAAACAACATCCCGTTGGCTACCACGGCGGAGCAAGCCGCACACGGGTGAGAGCCGAGCGGGAATGCCTTTTCTTCGCCCGCATCGGTCGTGTCGCCCTCGTCATCGGGAGCGGAACCAGCAGCATCGGCAGGCTCACCCTTGCGGGTGGCTTCATCCGAGTACATGGTTACGTCGTCATCAACGATAACCTCGGGCTTGGGAGCCACCTTCGGCATCTTCTTCGAAGCCACTGCCTTTGGCGCGATTGCTGCCTGCTTTGGCGGTGGTGCCGACGATTAGCCTGCCGCTTCCTCATAGTCACACTTAGCACGGAAAGTGTGCCCTGGCTCACCCTTGCGGGTGGCTTCTTTGTTGTCCACGACATAGAGAGGAAGATCTTTCTTGCTGGTGTCCACGGCCGTGAGGATGCAGTCCGGGGGAATGGAGTTGCGGGTAAGAAGGCATCGGTAAAGAAGACGCAGCCTGCGCTGATTGCGCGATGGGTGTCTACCACGAGCTCGATCGGCTGGTTCGACCTCATGCCACTCTTGTACTTGGTGTCGTTGAAACGATAAGGGGAGAGGTAATTGTGTGCTCGGTTGGACCTCGCCGAACCGGGAACCATGCCATCGCGAAGGATACCGTTCATGCCTCGCTCATTGGTCCTGTGGTAGAGCTTGGCCGGTGTGTCTTCCTTCGAGAGCACTGTGACGCCACGCGCACTGCTCTGGATTTCCGCTTCCTCTTTCGAGAGCCCGCTGTAAAATCTCGTCGCCAAGAAGAAATCCGCATCGGTGTTGTTTCCGACGAGCTTCTCGTTGTGGCCCTGAGATCTGCGAATTCTCACTGGGAAGAGCGGCTGGCCGATGGTTTCCCTCATAGGGACGTCGATCCCTAGCAACCGAATCCTGCCTTTGTTGTCCGCCTGTGTGTTTGTGCCCTCGATCGATGTGTGTGCAAACGAATCATTTTCGAAACGAGAACACGTTTTGACAAGACTACCCCCCTCATCGAGAGGGGAACGAACACATGACCTCCAACAAACCATTGCTTTCTGAGATGGTAACTTCAACTGAGCCGTGGGCAAGAGGAACGTTGCTTGCTGTGAGAGCCTCTTTTGCTGCTTGTTATACTTCTGGTACCCCCCTGACGAGTAGGCGATGAATGAATGTCGCTCACCAGTGTAGGGTTGTACTCCGTGTGTTGTTGATGGATGTAGCAGCGTGGGCTTGCGGTATGTGTTGCAATTCTAGCCTTTGTGGCCTTCCCACGATCATCTTTGTAAGTTGCCGGCGGTCCCCGTTGGCTAGCCCCTTCAATCCACAGTGTCCCCCCTGTGTAATCACCGAAGGAGAACGTCAAATTCTACGATTACTTTTGGTTGTACTTGTCTGTGTGGAGGCGGGCCTTGCCATTGAAGTTGAACACGAACGAAGTCCATGTAAACCCTTTCGGCCATGATCGCTTAACGAGTTCGTTCACATACCTGCAAATCCAAGGGTATTGCTTTGTGCGGTTTGTTACACCAAGGCACCCACCATGGACTCAAGCGCCGAGCACCAAGTATTTGGATGCTGTGTCTGAAGCCATCAATGCTCTCGAGTTTTGCCGATGAAGCTTTGAGAGTGGTACGTATAAGCCCATCTAACTTCTCGAAGGTCTCGAAACCGAAGTCGTTAGAGCCGAACGATTGCTTAGCGAAGTCCTCGACGGCCTTTGCTGCATCCGGAGCTGCTGCTACCGAAACCTTGTTGTCGACCTCGACCTTCGACTCGGGTTTGCATCCGGCTACATTCGCGCTGGTTGTATGTCCAATGAGCTTCAGAGCGTGCACCCACTTGTTCTTTTCGGTGAAAGGCTTCGTGAAAACGTCTGCCACTTGTTCGGCTGTACCGACGTTCATCCATTCTCATATTGCTGCTTTAGCCAAGAAAAGGTTACTCTCTGCGTCCGATCTGTATGTCGTAGAACACCAGCTTGCCCTAGCAACAGAAGTGTGATAGTTGCTTGGTTGTCCTCCATATGTCTAACCTCAAAGCTTTCGGGAAGTTGGACGCAGAGGCCGTTGATGTCAGCTATCGACAACCCATCCGGTCGAGTGGACCCATACCAAATTTCATCAAGCTCAGGGTCAATACACGCGACTATAGAATCCCCCTTTTCGGCCCTAGGCTCGGCCTTGCGGCCGGCATCTCCACGCCAGAGGAAATACCACAAGCTCAGGCAAGGTAGACCTTCGGCACGTAAACCATGGTTTGCCGCTACAACTTCGGACTCAGTAGAGCTCATTGTGATCGAAGTTTGCTTTTTGCTAAAGGCGTTGAGTGGGAAGTACGTGTTCGGGCCAACCAGGAACATCGCACATCCAGTTGTTGACTTTGAGTCAAACTCACCCGCGAAGTCGGAATCACTGAACAACCAAAGTCTGCAATCCATGATGCTATCACCAATGAACCCACTCATGGTGACGTCAAGCGAAGAGTTTATATAGCAAACCAAGCGGTGTAGTCCCAAATCGCAATCCGGACTCCACTTGGTCACCCTCGACGCCAAAGACTGAGTTGCCCTTAAAAGATCCCACCTTGCCATGCGGGCGGCAAATAGAATTTTCATCAACACCTTACTTGCGATCGGTGGCAACTTCCCTGCCTTCTCCCCTTCCGATGCTGTCGGTACGGCCACACGCAGCTCATGAAAGGGGGTTGCAGCTGGCTTCAGGGTTTTGCGCTCGACTTCAGCAGAAACTTTAGCAAGCTCACAATACCAATACCGTTCAACGCAGGAATCCAGGAAGTCCTTCATGTCATATGTGATGCGAGTAACAGGTTTCGTCATAGCACCAGGCTTCTCTTTCTGGTCTTGCGAAGGGGAAATAAACTTGCTTTGCTTGACCTCTTTCTTAGCCTCAGACTTGTTACGAACTGGCTTACCCTTGCGGGTAGCTGCAACTGCCAGCTCGAAATCGGACTGTTCCCGGCCTCCGAGGTCGAAGTATGTTGCGCCGTCCCACCAATCATCCTTCA